CCAGGAGGCACTCCAAAGTGTCCTCCGTCCTGAGCAGGGCTAAGAAGCATGGGTTTAGATTTATAGTCACTGTTTTGAGCTTTTATTCTTTCTCCAGGAGTAATTTCAAAGTGTCCTCCATCCTGAGCAGGACTAAGAAGCATGGATTTATATTTATATTTATATTTATATTCAGTGTTTCGAGCTTTTTAATTTCTGTCCAGGAGGATCTCTAAAGTGTCCTCCATTCTGAGCAGGACTAAGAAGCATGGATTTATATTCATATTAAGTGTTTTGAGCTTTTTAATTTCTGCCCAAGAGGATCTCCAGAGTGTCCTCCATTCTGAGCAGGACTAAGAAGCATGGATTTATATTTATATTCAGTGTTTTCAGCTTTTATTCTTTATCCAGCAGTAATTCCAAAGTGTCCTCCTTTCTGAGCAGGGCTAAGAAGCATGGATTTATATTTATATTCAGGGTTTTGAGCTTTTTAATTTCTGTCCAGGAGGGATTCCAAAGTGTCCTCCATTCTGAGCAGGACTAAGAAGCATGAATTGACATTTCTAGAAGTGTTTTGTTTGGAGGATAAAATGGAACAAAGCATGCTGGGTTTCCTGTGACAGATGTGGGGAATTGTGCCACTTTCCAGATGTTGCTGGACTGCAGCTCCCATCAGCCCTAGCCAGCATAACCAGTGATCAAAGAAGACAGAAGTTACAGCCCAACACATCTGAAGGGTTGCATGACTCCCGATCTGTTACAGTTTATTTATCTACAGTTTTATTTCTCCTCTCCCCGAAAAAAGGTCTTCTCTTTGCTTCACTTTTGTTCTTTCTAGCTTACTTAGTACAAATACTTATTATTTATGCTGGCTCAGCACTCAGTATTGGAGCTTTTCAGTCAAAAAGATCAAACAGGTGGATCGGCACATATACAACAAATCCATTCCAAATGTTGTGTGCATATGTGTGCATGTGTACACACACACAGAGAGAGATCAAGAGGGAGAAGAGACAAAGAGCAGCAGTAAAAGGCCCGCAAAAGACGAGGATTTGTGCTTTTCAAACACCTATAGTGCAGAAGACAGCGTGGCATAGTGGTTTGAGCATGGACTTTGACTCTGAAGACCAGGTTTCAATTCCAACTTGACCATGAAACCCATTGGGTGACCTTGGGCAAGTTGCACTCTCTCAGCCTCAGTGGAAGGCAATGGCAAACCGCCTCTGAACAAATCTTGCCAAGAAAACCCTATGACAGAGAACACTTCAGGTTGCCATCAGTCGGAAATGTTTTGAAGGCACACAACACACACAGAGTGCAGAAGACGTGAATGAGGAAGGAAGAAAGGAGGTCAGAAGAAAAGGTACACAAGGGGGAACATTGAGGCATGAAATAAAAGTAGCCCCAGGTTTAGCCAAGTGAGAAGAATATAGCTAACTCTGCCACTCCAGCAGAGTTAGAATGCACTACTGTTGTGTTCTGGACATTATAAAGTCAGGAGTGTTGGTGGCTCATCACAATCTGACACAGATGTTTCTACATCCCTGTTACTTGAGATTATTTTAACTGGAAAGATGTGTAGACTTGAACCTGGGACCATATGCATGCAAAGCAGGTGCCCTACCAATGAGCTGCAATCTCCTCCTCAATGTAGTTGACATTGCTGCTGTTGCACATCAAGTCGTTTCCAACTTATGGCAACCCTGTTACAGGGTTTTCTTGGCAAGATTTGTTCAGAGGCAGTTTGCCATTGGCTTCCTCTGAGGGCAAGAGAGAGTGATGTTCCCAGGGTCATCTAGTCGGTTTCATGGCCAAGCCAGGAATCGAACCCTGGTCTTCAGACTCGTAGTGCAAACCACTACACCACACTTGCCATTAAACATCTATAAATCTTTGAAAATCCGTATGTATGAGGCCACAAACTGCTTCAAAAGAAGTTTTGTTTGCTTTCTTGCATATATTACATTTCTATTCTGCTTTGCCTTTTTGGAATTGGGTGGTATACATCACCCTTGTTTTATCCTCACACTAACCTTGCTCTCTCTCTGTGTGTGTATATATATATGAGAGAGAGAAAGAGAGATTGTCACTGGTCTAGGATTACTGAGAGAGTTTGGTAACTGAGAAGGGCTTAGAATCCAGGTCTCTGTAAATCTGAGACTAACCACTATACCAGGGGTCCCCGGACTTTTTGATCTGGGGGCTGGTTCGCTGGCCTCCAGATCTTCTGGGGGGCCGGAGGCACACATGCGCACAACTCCGGGCGCCATTTTGGAAGAAAAAAAGGCACCCGAGTAGTGTGCATGCACACGTGACATTGCACGCATGCGCGTGACTCTGGACGCCATTTTGGAAGACAAAATGGCGGCAGGCGCGAGCGGTGGTGGCGTGGCAGCGGCGGTGGCAGGACTGGCGACGGGCCGGTAGGAAGACCTCAATGGGCCGGGTCTGGCCCGCGGGCCGTAATTTGGGGACCCCTGCACTATACTGTACTGTTGCTGCTTTTAAAAGATATGGCAATTTGCATCTACAGTATATTGAAACAAGGATAACAATTACTGAGTGCCAGCATAGCATAGTGGCTTGAGCCTTGGATTGTGACTCTGGGAGCCAGGGTTTGATTCCCAGTTCAGCCAAGAAGCCCACTGGTTGACCTTGGGCAAGCCAGACTCTCTCAGCCTCAGAGGACGGCATTGGCAAACCCCCTCTGGAGAAATCTTGCCAAGAAAACCCTATGGTAGGTTTGCCTTAGGGTCACCATAAAAATCCTAAAAAAGAGGGGGAAAGGCCGACAGGGGCCGTTTTCTTCCCTTGATTCTCCTCTGAATTCCAGTCACTTTGGGCTCATGAGTCTCGTCATGAGTGAGAGTCACAGAAGAAAAGAGGCAAAGGAAGAAACAGGAGTCATTTCTGCTGCCTCTTTCTCAGCTTTGTGCTGGCTCATACCCTTACAGGGCACTACCATCTTTTCTTATCTGTGTACTTTCGGTTCTACCAAAAAAGTCTTCCGATAGAATATAAATCTAATGTATAAATCACATGTGCCATGACCTTATTATAATGCACTGTAGCTTAAATTTTGACTTTCACAGACTGCAGAAACTATTCTATGAGGATAATCTATTTATAATCTATTTACTTAATTTTTATTTATTTATTTGCCTCAGAGGAGTTGTCTACTCAATAGGTCTCAAAAGCAGAATGCACCTAAGCATTCAGGTAAATAACATACTATTCATTTTTTGAGTCAGTGATGTTTATGCTGGGATTAGTAAGCGAGACCTCTCTTCCACCTCCATTTTCAATCTGTTAATTAAAGCATTCTTTCAAAATTGCAGGTTTGGGATGAAACTCATCATTCTGGAGCATTATGGTCAGGCCAGTGAATGGGCTGCAAAGTACATTAGGAATAGAATCATCCAGTTTAATCCAGGTCCAAACAAGTATTTCACCCTTGGACTCCCCACTGGTAAGTTGTGAGGCTGGCATTTTAGGAGGTTTTGTGATGATCAGAGCAGCTCCCCCAGGTCCTTTCTGCTCTCAGGTTACTGAGCAGTTACTCAGCTGGATCATTCAGTCTTTGTGATATTAAAATCAAGAAATCACTTTGGGCTTTGCCATAAATGACTACCTTGTCAGTTTGCTACAGATAGTAGATGACGGATCTGTGTTGAGGGCATTTATAAGCTGCTGAAGTACTTTTAATCAAGGCATAAATCCAGTTGCTAATTCTAACAGAATCAAAGGCATTTTAATAAGTTGGCACTTACATAAGTTCCTTTTGTTCAATGGGCCTATTCTTGTTGAATTGCAGCCTGAGTTTTCTCTAAAGTTTTATAGAACTTATGTATGATTGTCTGGTGTATGAGTCCACCATGCCCTTCCTATTCCATGCAGTTATTATTTTCAGATTGACAAAAGACAAGAATCTGAAATTCCTTCTAGGCTTTGTAAAATTAGGAAATGTGATAGGTCTTACTTACCTTTGAAAGAAAGCAATTAAAAGGGGAGATATAATAGAAATATATAATACTATATATGGCACAAAAGGTGTGGATAGGGTGGGATTTTTGTCCTATCACAGCAAAGGTTGTCTCCCTTATCTGGAATTCCAAAATCTGAAATACTCCAAAAACTTTTTTCACAGGTGGCTAATACAGTGAGACCTTTGCTTTCTGAGGGTTCAGTGTACACAAACTTCTGTTTCATGCACAAAATTATTTAAA